ACAATGGAGTAAATTATGAATGATAGCGCATAAAAAAATATAACAAAATGTTTTCTGAATGTGAAGAAATTATAGAAAAAAAAGGGAAGATCAAACTTGATTTTGTGTGCTCTTCATAACGATTTAAGCAGAAGTTTTCGAAAAATCCTACTCCAACAATCGTTGAAGGGTAGCAAAAAAAAGGAATCAAATTTTGTAAAAGGTTCGATTGAAAACTAAAACTAATTAATAAATTTAACAATTAAAAGCAGCGAAAATAAGACTGGAAATAAGTTGATTATGGAATGATTTAGTTGCTATTTAAACTACTGATGTCCACTGTGCAAGGACATCATAAAACAGATGCCGACCCAGGCACAAAGCTGATGACGACTACGAGGACGATGGTAATGATGATGATGATGACGATGATGCCCTGACCCGAAGGGCAAGGCAGTACGGTACGGGCAGTCACTCTGTCACTCCCTCTCCATATAATGCGCGCTAAATACATAGTTTGAAAATAGTTTTGAACCCTTTCATCAAGCAACCCCAGTCGCCCAGTCTCCCAGTCTCCCGGCCTCCCAGCCTCGTTCCTGTCCCTAACCTCCAACACCAACTGAGCTCTGGCTTGGCCGCAAACAAACAAAAAACCCATGGGAACTCCACTCGTGGTTCGGTGGAGCCAGCATGCCAGCGGGGCAAGGGGCAAGGGCAAGAGGCGAATGCCGGAATGGAGCTGTGGAAAAGTGGAAAAGCAGAAGTGACACTGGCAGAGAGCATTGGCTGTCATTTCCCATATATTTTTTATTTTTTTTTAGTTTTTTGAAGCCTTTTCCCATCGTTTTGTTTGTATGGTTTATGCTGTCATACGACCTTTTTTGTCACATTTTCGCCGAGTTACATTTTGTCACTCTCCTTAGCATCATTTCATCAGCATTTAGAGTGGGACAGAAGCGAACACGACTGCACTGCTTGCTGCTGATAAATGAAAGACGAAGTCGAACAGTTCCGTTCCTGTCCTGCCCTATCCTATCCTATCCTATCCCCCCGCCCCCATGCCTCATAGCCACCACACCCACAGACCCAATCCCAGTCCCAGTCTGTCTGAGTCTGTGTCTGTGCTGGGGTCTGTCGAAATGAATGTTGCAACTAAATGAATAAATGGAAATTAGTGCCAAAAAGGCAACGATGCGCATACAATGAACCTCCCGACGAGCAAGCGAACGGACGGACGAACGGCCAGTGCCAAATTTTTGTTTGTGTCCTTGTGTCACTCAAATCACCCACACTCGAACTGGAATCCGAAAATGCATTTTTCATAGATGTTTCCTCCTGTATTAGGCTACAATCTACGCTAATTTCAAGCCGCTTAACACTCGCACTCATTCGTTTTAATTTATTGGCAGTTTCCCAATAATATAATTTTAAGACATCCTCGATTTATTTTGATTATGATTTAGAATTTACCTGTGGAATAGGTGGGCAGATATAATTTCTATCTTCATGAACTCTTGGGAAACGTTTGCCCTGTATATCACTTCGAGCCGTTGATTAACTAGAAAATAGGAAAATAGGTTAAAATATTTCAAAACTTATTTCATGAGATAACTTCATTTAAAAATTTACCAAATTTTATATTCTGCACGACTACAGGAAGTTGATCGCCGAAGTTGTCTCGTATCCTTTAGTCGTACCCCTGGACTGACTACTTGATGATCCGGGCACCCAATATATACATATATGACCCTTGTGTGCCTTGCCTTGAATCGCATTTAATAATAATTAACTGAACGTTATGGTGCTGACCGTTAATGGAGCTCGGAGAGAACTCATTGAATTGAAGGGCTTAAACTCACGTGCATAATCAATAAGTTTCACTTCTTGCCATTGATCTGTCGCTGCGACATGCCAAAATGGTTGTAATTTCTGTTTAAATATCAGCGATTTATGTACGTATGTATATATGTATGTATATGTATATGTGCTTTTGCCACTTTTCCTCCACTCATTTAAAGCCACCGTCTGCTCAAATCAGCACCACACCCCGCCTGCACGACTGGTGCAGGAATATTATCGTATAATTCAGGGCAAAACTGAGGGAAAGGGTAGCAGCGCATTCAAGCGAACGCATATCTATCATTAATATCGCTGCAGTCAGCTGCTGTTGTGCTCAAAAAAAAGCCAGCAGCAAAAAAAGGAAGCGCCATTACGCTCAGATTTGTAGCCGAAGCTTGGACTACACTCGCAGACAGTTCTTTAGTGTGGTACAATACATAAAGAGCATAATATATGCAATTTGAATTCACTTCTATCTTGCTCCGATTTCAATAATATATTCCTCCGATCCGATAGGTGCATATCTCCATGGATCTACCGAATATGCTTTGCCGCACACGATTTGTTGCGTTGCTCAAGTTTTCCCGAGTTCAGGGCCTCAGGTTTCCACGGATTGGGTGTGCAGAAAGCTACGTAGAGAGTCCTGTAGTTGGGCACTATTTTAGCTTAAGCTCTTACTATTTTGGTAACATGCTCTACAGCTGATGCTTAAGACATTAAATATTATAAGCTAGGAGTTTTCGGATTTGGATCTTCCACTCTATGATGCAAAGTTAAAGCTTTTGCTGTTATGACTCCTGTGCATGCAAAGGGTATACAAAGTGGCACACACACACAAACACACATCCATTCGTAGCCATGAATGCTAACACACACACACAGACGAACATCCAGGGATCGCTGGCATTGTGTGGCCCTGAGGTTTGCTCTGGCTGCACTGGCTGGAGCAGGAGCAGGAGCTGTAGCAGTAACTGACTGCTGAACTACTGCCAACTGCAATTAATCATTTTTCTATCATTTTCAGATTTTTTACACACACACACTCACACATAAATGCATATGTATGTATGTACACCCACACACATGCGGTGCATGCTGCATATGCATGAGCCTGGGGTAAGTTATGATTTTTCACGATGCTGTTCTCCGATTTCTTCTTCTCCTTTTTTTTTCCTGGTGCCTCTTTACCTTCCTTCGTTTCCCCCATCTCCGCCATACAAATTTTTGGGGGAAAGTTCCGTCTGCTTGCGGCAAGCTAAAGAGCTTAAATAGCCCATGCAACATGGAGCAGGCCCCCAGCAAAAATCACATGATAATTGAGGCACCTATGCGTATGCGTATTTAGGCGAAACGTCAGACTCCAGGCGTCATGTTCTCTGGCTTCAGGCAGGAGAGTGTGGAGGATTAACAGTGTGTACAGTGGCAACTCTCTTGCTGAGACACTGAAACTAACATCATTAGGTCCGCTAAGAATTAAAAATTATATAAATTAAAAAAAGTAAGTTATTATTATGTTACCCTAATATTTTTAGCATGGGTTTACGAACCTTACCCTTGAAAAGCAGGTTGTGCAGTGTTAGCTCCTTGGTGGACAGCTTGGGTCGCTTGGAGCTTATTATTTGTATTAATTGCCAGGTAGCTTCCATCCTCAGCCTCAATCGACAGTGTTAAATGAATATTTTACTCAGGGCTTGTTTTTTTTCTACCAGATTTTCTTTGATTAAAAGATTTTGTCAAAATTATCAATATAAGATTTGAGTGACATTTAAGCTTATTTCCTTATATAAAACGCACTGTACTGCATACCATATGATGTAGATGGATAGATATGCACATGGCCTTTCCATACATATCTATTTAGGGGCACAGGTCTGCTTTTAACCGCCGCAAATTGCAGCGTCGTCGCCGGCCTAAACGATTTCTAATGGCTAAGCACATCGGGCGCCAACGAACGCCTCCATTTCACCATTCTTCTTCCCAACTACTGCCACGTTCATCCATCTGCACATATCTACATAGACATACATACATAGGAGTATCTACATATGTATGTATGTGCACACAACACATCTTTGCAGGCATACATCTCCATGGGCATATGTATGTACATAGATTAGGTCAATTTGCTGGTAACTTTTGATGATGCCCCAGCACATTTACATCCTTTGGCCAAGGAGAGAGCCAAAGGCAAAAACTTTCCGTTGATGGTCGGCCAGCCTGGTCACTCATTGATGCGGATACATCCGGGATGGGTGCCCCAGTGTGTGTGGGGTGTGTGCAGATCCAGACGGGGCATATTGCAGCATCAAGTATAAACTGCTAACAAGTCAACAAGACCAACAACCAGAAGCTGCTGTAGCAGAGGCAGCAGAGGCAGCAGCAGTACACCGACAGTCCAATCCAGTCGAGGCTCAGTCAGGCATTCCCATGGGACATTTGGTCAGCTTGGTCAGGTTAAGTGTTTTATGAACTTGTTTCAATGAAGTCATACAAAGTGCGTGGGTATGTCTCTCTGCGTGTTCGGATGCGTATGCGTATGCAGGTGCCATGTGCCATGTGGCATGTGGTGACTGGCAAGGAGGCACAACCCAAGTCCTGCTGGCCATCGTCATAGTCATCGCCATCGCCAGCGCCAGCGTCGTCTGTTGCCATTGAAGCTTTTAATTTGATTTTCGTTCAAGTGTCGTTTTCTGTGGTTCTCCAGTGTCTGTCTCCCTCTGACCCTCTGACCCTCTCTCTCTCTCCATCACTTCCTTCCAGTGTGGCCAGTGTGTCCAGTATATCCAGGTGTGTGTGTGTGTGTGTGTGGGTTTCCGTACTAACTTGAGCCCTCGTGCTGCCTCTTCTACTGCTCCTTTTTGGCTTCTGTTACGGTTTCTACTTTTGCTGGCGATTTGGGTACCGTTCCGTTCCTGTTCTCTGTGTTTCTCCTAATGAGGCGACAGTCGTTTGTCCCCCAAAAATGCTCTAATTAAAGCCAGTTCGGGCCCAAAGTAAATCGAGAACATTGCCTTTAACTCACTTGCTGGACAAATTCACATTCACAAATGCAACTTTTGATATATGATAGCTTTACTTTACTTTATGGACGACTGCACTCCCTTTCGGACTGATTTTAATTGAATTTCTTGAATTAAATCCACTTATTACGAACCCATGCCCATTCCCATACCCATTCTTAGGTCAGAGACTGACACAGTGAAGAATCGAACAAGAGAGGTTGGCCAGCAGCAGATTCAAATGCCCCTAAAGATTACAGAATTCAAATAAGTCTTTTAGTTTTAAAGCCTGCAATGAATGCTGCGAATGTCCACTGGAAAGACTTCAAAGTGAGAGAGCGTTAAACCAAGGCACACGCAAAAAAAAAGTAAGGGCTATCTGACTTTATGTATTCTGATCGGGCACTGCTGCTTTTTTTCCACAAATAATATAGCTCGAATAAATGGCCCTTCAATGGCCACCCCCCTACAGTGTACTTTGGCAAGAGTTGAACAATTTCCATACTTCGGAATATGTCCGGGGAGGAAAACCAGCGAGCCAGAGAAGAGGAACCAAGCAGAGAGGCAGCCAAGCGGGCACGCTATTGAACAAATAAACAAATTGGTTAATTTACAAATTGAAAATTTATGTAAAAATATGCATACTTACGCCAGGGGCCAATCAGTCAGTCGTGGAGTGGCTGAAGATGCGACCGCAACGAAGTCGCCGGCAATTGGCTCTCTTCTGGAGCCGCCAGCCATACCCAAAGTTATGCAGCAAGCCGCAGGCGAGGACACGCATATCGATGGCCACGTGGCGGCGCATACTAGCCAGGAACACAGATGAGTTCTGTCGCAACACGACTATACATGGCCTTAAGTATATCAATAATGGGAACTTACGCAAAAGCGACAGGTAAATAACACAAATCATGCACATGTGCACGTGGCTACAGAGGCTTAAAGGTAGCACGTACTCTTTGTTAGAGTATTTTTTGGTGTCGCAATGCTGGCGGTTGTCGGCATGGCCGCTTACCTCATACAGGACGCCTTCGACAAGTGGAACACCACACCGGTGATAGTGGGCATTGATCCGGAGCTGACGTACATCACAAATGAGCCATTTCCCGCCGTCACCATTTGCAATCTAAACCAGGCCCTGGCCAGCAGGGTCGCGATCCTCGGCAATGACACGGCCGCTTATGCGATGCTGCAGATTTTGTGCCGTCGCAGTGTGAATGTGCAGCGGGTCAGCGATGGTCGAGCCAACTGGGAGGAGTTCATAATGAATGTATGTATGTTATTAGCTGCGTGTTTTTTAAAGTTATTCCAAATTTCAACGGCCCCTGACCTGTCTCACGCACAGATATCGCAGCCATGCCAATCGATGGTCATCGGCTGTCGCTTCGGCGCCGACGACTATGAATGTGCGAGAATGTTCTATCCAATTGTCACCGATGAGGGCCTGTGCTGTGTATTTAATATGCTGCATCCACGCTTCATGTACAAACGCAGGTATATTTGCACATCTTTTACCTAATTCACTCGCTTTTGGCCAGCAAAACTCACTCGCAATTTTTGTGCAGCCAGGCTATCGATGGTCCGTGCAGTCGCTCTTATCGATAGCTGCTTATCGATGAGGCGCGTGTTCGTTTCATCACATTATTGTTTAATTGATTATGCAGCTTGAAGTAATATATTGTTAATCTCTAAATTAAACATTAAATTCATGTTAAATAAGTAAAATAAGCACAGCATTGCTTATACGACGCACCTAATTTTTTAGCACTTCAGTGCGACCCTGTTAGGTAAAAAGTATCGATGAGGCGGGTCAATTTGTATCTGCCTGTAATTAATTAAAAACCAACTTTGTTGAATTCCAATGGCATTAAGAAGTACATATATTGGTAGATTTAATAAACTTTACAGTAAGCTCAGGCTGACATGAATATATTTCAATTTTCTTATGGATCGATAGACGCTCAAAGGCCTGGTCGATAATGACCTAGCGCGTTTGAGAGAGGCGCGAAAATTTGATAATTTGGTATTTTCAATGAAATTAAATGCTCTAACGCATTATTGTATTGCATGGAAATTGCAGTTTTCACAAGAAAATTTACACAAAACGCCAATATGCCCTTGTTAGCTAATTGTTATGTTGTTTTTCGTGCAGCGCTTTGTTCTCGCAACGAAATCTGACCCTACCCAAGGAATTCCAGGCTGTCAATTGGCATGCGGAGCTGGGATACAGGCGGGGCGACAAGTATCCGGGCAGTCTGCTGTATCCGCGCCCAGCCCAGGGCACAGGCGAATCCCTGGGCCTGTCTCTGACGCTGGACGTGCAAGCCGATGCCTACTACTGCTCCTCATCGAGCAGCATTGGCTTCAAGGTCGCCCTGCACAGTCCCAACGAGTCGCCCAATGTGCGCGAGACGGGCGTCCTGCTGGCACCCGGCATGGAGACCAAGCTCCGCATCGATCCGGCCAAGATTCGTACGGAAAATCATCTGCGACGCGTGCACCGCAAATACAGGCGCTGTCTGTTCCGCAATGAGCTGAAGCTGCGTTGGTTTGCCCATTACACGCAGCGCAACTGCGCCGCCGAATGCGTGTCGGGGCTGCTGCTCCGCCACTGTGGCTGTGTCTCATTCTACATGCCGCGCCTGCACCGCAACGACACCATCTGCTCTGTGGGGCAGCGGGAGTGCGTGCAGCGGATACGTTTGGGTACGATTGAGGCAATGGAGTCCTGCCTGGACGAGTGCCTGCCCAGCTGCTTCGATCTGAACTTCAACACGATAACCTACTCGACGAAGATCTCGCACGATGGCTTCGACGTGACCAATCCGAATGTCAGTCTCAACTTCACCGACGCCTATGTGGAGCGCAACGTGGCGGTGGTAAATATGTACTTTAAGGATCAGACCTACCGGGCCAGCAAGCAGACAGAGTTTATTGGCTTCTCGGACTTTCTGTGTGCGTAGCCTTCTGCAGCATCAGCATTCCCATGGATTTATTTATTTATATCTATTTTCATATTTGCAGCTAATGTTGGTGGCCTGATGGGCCTGTTCCTGGGCTTCAGTTTCCTCTCCATAGCCGAGTGTGTGTACTTTGCGTTGATACGACCCTGTCGCACCTGCTCCGAACTGAGAAAACAGCAGCCGACGACAGGAGCAACAGCAGCGATGTCCAGCCATGCCCATGTCCAGGCAAATAGAGTTTTTGTTCCACGAAACATAAATTATATTTCACCATCCAAATGGTTTCAAACCGAGTTGGCTCGTCCTAGGGGGCTCAACTACAACTACAATCATCATCCGGCTTAGGCCTAAATATTACAACTAAATTCTAGACTAGATCAAAGTGCTTGGTGACGGTGTCGTTCTTGGCCAGCGCCAAAGTCTTGGTGTTCTCGTAACTCAGCATATACTGCTTGGCCTTGCTCTTCAATAGGTCATCAAAAATCTGCAAGCAAAACAAATTAATTAATTAATAAAAAATCAAATAAAAAGTTACTTCTGACAGGGGCATAAGAGTCTGAAAGATATCCGTGCTAATGTTGGATACCAGCAGGGACACCAGCAATTACTCACCCGACTGTCCTCCACATCGAGCAGGGGTCCCAGATCAAACTCCATAATGGGCAGGGGATTGTTGATAAACGTCGCTGCATTGGCCACCTCGGGTATGGCGTTCTTTTGCAGGAAATGCAACTCCCAGAGCGAGCTATTCAGGGCCTCCGTCTTCACCGGATCCTTTTCCTTTTCATTGTAGGGATCCGTGACCTGTTCGGCCAGCGGATCGCCACGAATGAGCTTCTGCAGGCCGGTGTGGCGTAGCAAAAGGTTGCAAATGAAACGTATCATGATCACCGCATCCTTGGGTGGACTTTTCAGCGCCAGACGTGCGAAGCGTTTGACAAACGCCGCCACCAGATTTTCCGGCAAATGTGTGGAGGTTAGGAAGATGTCGGCCAAGTAGAACAGGCGCGACTTGTACTTGTTGGTGAAAACGCGAGCATGGAACATTTGGTATAGCTTCTCATAGACATCCGGATAGGTGATGTTCTGCTTTTGCATCAACACAAAGATGCCCTGCAGAGCCAGCAGGGCAATGGGTCCATCTAAAAGGGAATTCGGTTGCATAAAAGTGTAAAAGGTGTAAAAGGTGCCAGCAGACAAACCATATTCATGCAGTGAGTTCATTAGGAAGTCAGTGACGCCGATGGGATCCTCCATGTGGGGCAAAATGCGCTCCAGCAGCACCACCAACACCATACGGTGTAGATCCTCCTCTATGCCGTTGCTTGAGGCGATAATGCCACGCCAGATTTTGTTCAATTTCTTGCGAGCCTTCTCGTAGGTGAAACTGCGATGCGACTTGTTCGTATCCACATGATATTTTTGGGCATTGAGCACCGCCTTGCCCAAATCCAATTGGTGTACCAGCGACAGATAGTTCATCGCCTTGATGGTATCATGCTGGTAGTCGCCGGTGGGCGCCAGTTCGAGGGCAAACTTAATGGCCAAATTGAGTACATCGAGGTATTTGGTGTACTTGCCGAACTCTTTTAGCACAATGGTACGCTCGGGGCCATTGATCAAAATTTCGAGAATGCTTTTGAGCTTGCCGATGGGCCAGTCTCCCTCCACGACGGGACTTTCAGCCTCGCCCTTAATCAGGGACATGCACACCTTCATTGCCATCGTGGTCTCCACCTGAGACGACGAGCCAATGCGCTCGAGCAGCAGAGACCAAGCCTCCGAGTACAGGGAATCCCATTGAAGCGCCTGCGGCTCCAGAGACTCGCGTTTCAGCAAATTGACGAAGATCACTTCCAGTACGGCCATCAGATCGTTCTGGTCAATATTGGCTGGTTTCTGCTTCTGCAAGGGCATGGGATTAGCATGGTATTAGCTGCGGCGCCAGCAGGTACATTGAGCTTTTTAAGCCGAGACCTACCAGATTCAGTATGAACTTTGCGAGTGGTGTTGGATCGAAGGGGCTGGCATTCAGCATTGCATTGGCCTGCAGGCGCATCCTACGCGTGTTCTGCTCTGTCAAGCTGGAACCTTCAAATGAGGCGCGACGTTTCATTTTTATGGCGGTTCAATAATCAAAGCTTAATTTTAATTACAATTTAAAACCATGAGGCCGTAGCTTAAGATGCAGTGCAGTGTGACCGTGGCTTTATCGATAAAAAATACTCGTCTGAACCTCAGAAATGTACCAAAATATACCTTATAGTTTTCAAAATATACCGTAAATATACCGAGGACAGAAACGAGCTTAGCCAAATTAACCACTCTCTATTTAAGCTGGTTAACACCTTGGAGTTGAATCACAGAAAATAATGCTGTTTGTAAATGTGCATTGTAGCTAAATTTTGATATCAAAATATACAGAAAAAGAAAAATATACCCTAAATGGTCACCCGGTAGGGGATTATGTATTTATTGATAGAAGGCTGCCACCTTGTTGGAAAAATGTGCTCTATATTAAGGGTATTTTGTGGAATTTATTTACAGTTTCTTAACAAAAAAATGTATTTAGAGCAAATACCCAAAAAATATAGACATTATTAAACACTTTAAAACAGCATATCGATGCATGTTGACTTCATTTCAAGTTTTGTGTGACCTTATATAACCTACATACCGCATTTATTTGCATTCATTTTACAATCAATGAACGAAAACATAAGAAAATATCAAATTTTGCTATAACAACAATATATCGGACTCGCTTGGAGTTCAATGTACCTTAATTTTTTGTACTTCTCAAAGGTTTTAAATTAAGCGGGCATTTGCTTTTTCTGGTATATTTCTTTTATCAATTGCAGTCATACTAAATACTGTCTTATTGCTATAGTGCGCGCTAAATTTAAATGGTGAGTTTTTTAAGCATGTCCTTAGCCATTCATAAGGAAATTCTACTCAACCCTGTTTTTACACTCAATTGAGTGAGTGCTCAACTCGTCTTTGACTTCGTTTTCGGATTCGGTGTTTTGGCTTTGTTTACAAATATTTGTGTCCTGTGAGAATTCGCGCGCCTGTTGCGTGTCCCGTTATCTTTGCCGCTTGTCCGTTGCTCCGTTTTTTTTTTGTATACCCTTTTCAGAAGGTATTCATATATTGAGAATATATTTGATACAAAGTGAAGGGAAAATACATATGTACATATGTATGTACTTACATATACTATATACATATTTACATATGTATAATTTATCTAAATATAAAACACTTTAAAAAACACTTGGGACATCCAAGATCGGATGACTGCCTGTAGGTACAATCGCTCGACGTACAAAATCTGTCGTAAATCCAGCCTTAGATTCTTGCAACCAATTTTTGATTTTATATCTAATAATGTTATCAATAACTAGTTCGAATAATACAATTACGAAACAAACATCGGAATATAGCACAACCAAACGTAGAATATTCTCATGTACTCGTATTAACTCCAAGCTTAATTAAATCTTAATGGTTTCAATTTGTAAAGGGTATGCAAATTGTATTCCCCCCACCAAAGTGTCCCTTCAATCTGCTGGGCATTTAGCTTTATGTTAATCGAGTTGGACAGCCGAATAAAAAAAACGAAGATTGATTATCGCAAACAGGCAGAACCAATTGGCGCAGCAGCAACAATTTGCCCGGCAAATTTCTGTTGACAAATCGCATTCATTAAGAGTAATGGAGAAATCAAATGGCAGACTGAACGACTGCCGGCTGCCTGCTGGATCCGTGCAGCTCTTCCTAAAATTACCTAAAATTCAAATTCAAATAAATTTTTTTACCAAAAAAATTAAAATCGTTTCTAAAAAATAATAGAATATGGTTTCTTGTTTTTTGTTTTGTTGGGATGTGTGTGGCGCAATGAGTTTTTGGCTCAGTAACTTGAGTTACTCCCACGCGGCGCCAGAAGCCATCGGCGCCCGAGCTTGGCTTCGGGTCCCCTGTGTCCTGTTCGGCAACTGTTTTGGTTTTCCACTTGGCGACGATTTGGACATGGAAGGCGCGCAGTTCGCTTGCGAATGTCCTACGCGACGGTTGTGCGGCGAACAAGAAACCGATTCCAAAACCAAGAGCGGGAACCACAGACCTGTTTGAGTGCCATTTAAATTTAAATTCAAAAAACTAAACGAACTTAAAAAACAAAAACAAAAAACAGCGTTTTTTTTCAACATTTTTTTACTGTGCTTGAGAGCTTTTTAAGCAATCGAAAATCTGCATAAATACTGAAAAACATCAAACAACAAAATTGCAATTGAAACCGCTTGAAATATAATATTGTTTTGTGAGCCAATTAATTTTATATTTTTCACAAAAAAAATATTCAGAATTGGTCGCGTTTCTCTTCTAAATATTCCGCACTGTCCAGCGTCGTGGAGAGGGACACACAATCGGATCAGGTGAGTGCAAGATGCTCCCAGCCGGAAATTAAATAATGAGATGCCGCCAAGGTACCGAAAAGAATTTTAGCCGGCAATTGAATTAAAACACGACTTGAATACAGAACTCCGCCCAACCGACCCACCGACCAACCGACCAACCGCCCACGGTGTGGCCTTGATGCCTTCTGGTCCTTACTTTACGCAAAAGAGTCATTTAATTAGGGTCGCCCCCGCGCTTCCAGCCGTGCTTATCCGAAACGAACTCCCCCACTTCCGGAACGGGTTCTTGTGCCCCCCTCTCAAGCTCCTAAACGGTTTAAATTGAAGCTACAATACGGGGACTGGACTCCTCTTTGAGCATTGGAACATCTTGTTGTGGGCAGCTTTTCGTTGTCCGCTTGATTGATGAACCCCACAGCCAATAGCAAATATATAACCGAACAGGATGGGATGCAGCACAGTTCGGGATGGGATACGGACAGGTTGGCATGAGAGCTCTCTCGGGAACCCAATCAAGTGGTGGACCTGCTGCGTGCAGACAGAACAGATAAAATGATTGTAAAGTTAATGATTGTGAAAATTCAAGTGCATTTCCAGAGTGATCTTTGCCCGAAGGCAGCATTAAACGTGGCATTTACTCGTACATATATTTAAAAGAAGTGAAAGACACAACAATACAATTTTTGGATATAAAAAATCAGTTATTTAAAGCAATAAATTACGGATACTCCATATATATAAATATACATACATATGTATATGCGTGGGACTCTCGCTAAAGTAGACATTTTTTTATGCAAATTCTTGTGAATGTAATTTTTGTGGGAAAAACAATTTAAATATTAATAAAAAAAAAAAACGTCGAAACGGAACGCGGCAATGCAATTCTTAGTATCCAGTACTTAGTTTTAATATATAAAAACTTGAGTTGGGTATTCATCCAACAACTGTGTAACTATGCGAAGGCCACGTATTCAAATAGAAGCATATTCGAATAGAAGAATAGAAATAGAAGAACGAATGGTGCAGCTTAATTGTTTATATTTTGAAATTCTGGCTCTTATAATGGCTGGCTCCGATCGCTACGTCTTGTTGCAATAAAAAAGATATGTTCATTCCCTTTGGGTTTAGCAGATCGGAGCACATTCAATACGAGTATGTGACTGTGTGGTGAAGACAGACTTCCATCCATCTGTTGCCTGAAAATTATGGAAACATTTATTGAATTATCCGCTGTGCAATTGCTTTGTAATTGAGTTACGGCTGGCAAACACCCATTTAATCCAGGGCCTAAACATATCCCCTTTTGGGTCGCACTCTATCAGTTCGTTAGTCGCGACTAATCCACGGCATATCTGCCACAAGTTGCTCACGCGATCTGCGGCGACGGGCGACAGACGGCAACCGACATGCATTTAAATTCAATTTCAATTCGCCGCCCAATTTACACATTTAATGTGTGTAATTTGCAGCTAAATTTAATTGGCCTAATTAGGTGCGACATGGCCGTAAATGTAACGTGCGACGGGGATCGTGGTGCCAAGGTGGCAGCGGGGGCGGGGGCGGGGGCGAAGCAACACTCGACACTCGACTTGCTCTGTTAAGTGATTCTCGGAGGGCCAGGAGGACCTGCCTTCAAGCAAACCAAAGCGTAGGTCAAGTCAAGCGGAATGAAGTGAAATAATTGCTCCTTTCAACTGTCAAATTGTGGATGGATGGCTTGGCTTTAAATGTTTGGCTAATTGCAGCACATTCTGTCTGCTCTTAACAACACTTGACAAACGCTCCAAAGCATCTGCAAAGATAAAGATGAACCCATGAATAAAAGAAGTTGGATGTATGTATGTTTGGGCTTCATAGAAGTTTCATGGCACAATTAAATTTAACTGAAGCTGCTTTAGTAAATATTAAACATTAATACATTAAATTGTAATCTGTTTTCTTGAATGCCCTAAAATGATATTGACTTGAAAATAATTTGGAGATTGTTCTGAGAGAGAGCTATGATTGCAGATCCCTGGTTACTGGAGAAATTATATATGATTATGAATTATCAGTTGTTATTTAACGCATCCATTGGACTCTAAAAATATTAATACAAAATATTTAGTATTATAATAGTTTTTCGGTTAAATTATACGAATTTGCTGATTTTGAAGAGTAAATTTTATAAAAATAAAAAGGTATAAAAAGGTAAAAATTGGAAACTATATTTTTTTTTCAAACTTTTGATTAAATTTAAAAATAAGGCAGTACCCCACCTCAGTGAGAGGCTATAGAAGAACAACAAAAAAGCGATGAAGAAGCGAAGCGAAAGATTTCTCTGGTGAATTCTTTTTAAAGCCACCCCCCCACCATCCCCCACCATCCCCTACGAATACGATGAAATTGTGTAAAAGTTTTCCATAATATTTTAACAAGAATTTAACGCTGCAGGCAAGGACAACGCAGCAGCACACGAGTTGATTGTCCCTGCCACACTGCCCCACTGCCAATGCCACCGACCCTGCCCCTGCCACTGCCGCAACCTCCCCCACGAACATTGTGTGCAGCTCCAAGACCAAGATATGGCATTAAAAATGAAAAAGCAACTCAAAATTCTCTGTCTCGTAAATGGGAACGCAGCAGCAGTAAAAATACCAAAACGCATAGTCATAAGGCAAAAGTAGGTGGATGTGCAGATGTAGACAGGAAGAGCGGTTGGGTCTGGAACTGGATTGGGTTGCTGGAAACTTTGCCCCTTTTTTTTTTTGTGTTTTGCCACGAGGCATGTCCAGCCTGTGTACAACTCCAGCTGCTCCTCAGCAGCTGAGGCATGCAAAATGAACCATAAAGTGCAGTCAGTCAAGATGTTTGGGTTCCGACCTCATCAAAGTAACAAAGCTTCCACCCCTATCCACCCCTATCCATCCCTTGCTATGCCACTGATAAGCACTTGACTTGAACGCTTTGTACCAGCTAGCAGACTGAGGAGGGGGAGGGGGCAACACAGCCGCAACATTCCCGCTTTGTTGCACGCAAATCTCACTCCTGCTGCATACCTTAAAGGCGCCAGTTTGCAAAACTTGAAGTCGGAATCCCGAGGGAACACAGAGAGAGATAGAGAGAGAATAAGTACCTCTGTGTGGAAAAGTATTTCGAAATTAAGGTACTACAACTGTCTTTGGGTGTACGGTTGCTTACATTGACGCATTTTGAGCCTTGAACTGGACAGATAAAGCGTCACGACAGTGGTCAAACTTTTAGTTTCTTATTTACAAAAGGCAGTTTCAAAGGCAGGCATTCAAAGAGATTGCTTCAGAGATGTGAAATTGAGATGTGGGTTGATAAATGAATAAGGAAGGAATATCAAAGAATATCATTTCAGCAGAAAGGTATTTTATGCACAAATTCTACAAATATTTAATAAATTTTAAGAGTTAAAAATAAAAGTAAAATAAAATAGAGTTATATAAAATAATACAAAAATTATCCATTATGTGGGTAATCGTTTATGAATCGTTTAAGTTTGATTAGCTTCACTTGGGAACTGCAATTGCAACTGTCCAACTAATGACTGTACAAACATTGAGGGATAATTGTTTGGCAAATATTTGTTAGCTGTTCCTCAATTAGGTACCCCATGTATTAACTGTCTGGAAATGTAGGTCAGGCTGTAAATAGCCTGGCAACTATCTTGATGGGGTTTGTCCTTCTGTCATCAGAAGTTTGCTCATGAATATTGCATTGCATAAATTCACGTGAATAGTGCACATAAATCAGTGAATAAATGTCCATTAATAGTGCACGAATAAATGAAGAATACCCCATGAATAATGAGTGCATTAATGAATAAATGAAGTGTTCCCTGTTCCCCCATGAACAGTTTGTAAATCAATGTGGGTTAAACCCTTTGAAATATGCCTTGAAAGAAGCCCTAATTGAAATGGTTAAGCGGTAATAAACACTAAATCATCATTCAGAAATGTAATCCAACCAAGAGAACTTAGCTTTGCCATGCCCGCCCCCACATGGGATTGTTTTACGAGCATTTCATTTGGCCATGATTCTGTCTAATCAGTTTAGCAATAATATTGCCCGTAATATTTGAAATTCGTGCAAATAAAATGCTGCAATTCGAGGGGCACTAATAAATGCTCTTGGCTCCATAAAGCTTAGGAATTACACCTCAGTCAAATGCAAATGTTATTGTGCTACCGCTGCCGCTGCTCCTGCAGGTTACCCAGGTTTTTTGAGCCTCCTGCTCCGCCTCCACCTCATGTGGCAGCTTATCCGGTGCCATTCCGCAGTGCGTGCCCCCAAACCACTCATAAGCTTACTTTACACCCACACACACACACACACACACACAAACACAGAGACACAAAGCAAGATAAACACGTATACAAATTTTTGTTGATGCTTTTTACACCTCACACTACCAACCAAGCAAGCAACCAACCCACACAGAGAGTGTTGCAGAGATACAGCAACCGAGCAACCGAGCAACCGACACGGCAGTATCATGAAAAATGTATAAAGCGTTGCCAGAGGGTGCCACCACTCTGCGTACCACCGTATCCTGCCCGTTCCCGTTCCCCTTGGCCTGGTGTGTAAATTTAATTGATTGACATCACTTAAGCGGGAGGGAGGGCAACAACCACAGCACCACAATGCCACAAAAAACAAGAGGGTAAACACTGCACTCTAGTGGATCGACGCTGCTATACCTCAGTACTCATTTCGGATATATGTAGTACACAAAAACTACGCGTGTTAAATGTTAAATGAATTTAAAGGACAGATCATAAAGCTTTCCCTGTGAAAACAAACATTTTCCTATCTTATTTGGCACACTAAAAGAGGAAGAGGCAGTAAATAACTACTCGACACATCGCCTGCTCCTCATACAATATACAGGGCATCAAAAGAAGCGAAGAAAAACCGAGAACAAATTCCGTTCAAACAAATGATTTGTGAATTGCCTGCCAAGCAAAAATGATAATCGAGTGTGAGCAAGAGGGGGGACACGAAACGAACATCTTAATTTGATTTCAATGCAAATATTTGTTGTTATTCCGAGGAAGGAATTCAAGGCGTGATCCCTGGATTAGTTGACATTTGAACGTCAAGTGGTTAAGAAAATTTAATGGTTTTAGAAACGTACAAATATGTAATAAAAAATATTAAAAATATAGGCGTTTGTGTGCTCGTAAAAATATAAAATTAAAAAAATATTAAAATCAAAATCAAAGGGTTTTGAAACGAATAAAACAAAGAAATCCCATAATGCTTAAAAGTAACATTAAACAATTTAATTTTGATATAAAACCGAAGGGAAAAAAAAACATATTTATATCATATTTTCCAAAGGTTTTATTTATTGCATTTTTCGTTTCTCTCTAACGCTTAAAAAAATCCAAAGGAAATTTCGCGAAAATATTTTCAGGTTAAGAAAACAATTTTGAAAAAAAAAAAGAAAACGTTTTCTACGTTTCCCAGGACAGGGAATTTTGTAATAAAAGAAGATGAAGATTCACTAATTAACTGTGAAGGAATGAAAATTCAACTTGATTAAAGACAAACACACCCAAAGGAATTTGGCACTGAAATAGTAGTTTGGATTAGGATGTTGGCTCTTGGCTAAATTGTGAATTATGAAATGTCGCGCCCGAAAGTAGCGAGGGAGTTTTCGAGAATGCCCTACCCTACACACACACACACAATTAGTTAATTAAGTTAAATTCTTGCCGCGCGCTGTTCTGTGGCTGTTTCTGTTGCTGTTGTTACATTTGGCGGCATTTTGGCTGTTCCATCAGGGTTATCAAGATGAAAGCGACAGGCATTTCCCAGAAGTAAATGGAAATGGGAGACGCTGGAGACGCTGGAGACGCTGGAGAGGACGCCCCCAACTGGCGGTGGACTGGGTGAAAGACAAATGTGGGCCACGAAATATTACTTTGAAGTTAACATTCACATACTCGCATATGCATACATACATACATATGTATGTACATCTGTGGTGGTGGTTTGTTTGTCGTTGTATTTTGGTGGCTTTCGGCGATTGCTGTTGCATGCTAATCGAGTGAAATACAGCCTCAGGTTGAGTGTCAGACCCACTCCCCGTATGAGTGCTGTACTCCCACAGCCTCTGACTCCTTGTGCGCGTATTTGTAAATAATTGATTAATAAATTACAAACAGTTTCTGCGTCTTTGAATCGTCGTCTCACACATGCTTTTGGTTGTTTGGTTGTTTGCCTGTTTGGTTGTTTGGTTGTTTGGTTTTGTGGCTTAACTTTGGCGATTGTCCAATTAAAGCTTAATGGCTTCGTGGATGGCGTCTGAGCGGAGTTTAAGCAATTGCCTGACAGCCTACTACTGGGCGGCACTGAATGTTCTGGAGGGAGCCTTTGTGTGCTCTACATTTATTTACATTTCCAGTCTGAAATTCAAGCTAATTTCGTGCACACAGTTCCAGCGAATAATAATTGTGCATCAAATTCAAATTCACAAACAGTTCACTGGAATTAAAATGCGTTCAGTTTTATGCCACACATTTATAAAATAATATTTGCAACGCAATTCATTTCTTTTTGGGCAATCAAAGCATTATTGATCTTCATTCCAGAAACTTATTTCCTGTGCTATGCAAATTCCAATTGCAATTCCAAAATCCATTCCAACTGCAACACTTTCAATCTCAAGCCATTTCCAATGCAAATTCAATTCAAATCCAATTCTATCCATTTCCAAACTCATTCCAATTAGCTGCAATTCATTCTAATTTCAAAACAAAATCCCCACTGGCAGTCCACGCACCGCCCACACATTTGCCCAAGGGCCTCCAGAGCTCTGTTTGCGATGGGTTCGACCCAAAAATATATAGTTTTCTCTTCGTTGCGTTGCGTTGCGTTGTGTTGCGTTGCGTTCTGTTTGTCCAAAGCGAAATTGCGCACATTCATTTCCGGAATTCTAAGAATTTTCTGTGGACAGCAGCGCCCGTAGAGACACGCCAGAGACGACCCCGAAAACATGGAGACAAATTGAGCCGGCGGTCAGGAATTTGTCGGTGATGAGGGGGCTGGCAGGGGGCAGGGCACCAGCAGGATGTGGGGATGGATGGATGTTCATGATGCGTATGTAGTTAGCTACTTGTGTACTTAATGAACTTTGCGGCTCCCCTGAGCTGCTTCATTTTCCAAGCTGGCAGCTATTTCGAGCCCATAGTGGGGGAAGATCTGAGTCTGAGGCTGAGCCACCAGCCCCCAAGTAGTTCATTCATGCGAAGAAGTTAATACACAAAAAGAGCAGCTTTGGCTAACATCTAAGAAGAATTTTCACTGATGGAATAGATCTCAAGCATTTATGCCAAGTGTTTGAATATGGTAGCTTTTGTTTCACCATTTAGTTGCAGTCTAAATATAATTAATTATTGTGGAAAATTGCATGCCAGGGATCTCGAAACAAGTGCAGCATTACAAAGTTTTAGTCTGCTTCGGGCGACCCAGAAACCCAGCTATCAGGCAGCTTCCGGTAAGCACTGCAGCTGCACTGCATTATACAGATAACTCCCTCGCACATGATTAACCATAATTCCAGTTAAGCATCAACGTGTGCAGTGTGTGTGTGTGTGTGTGTGTGTGTGTGTGCCGCCCGTTTGCTTATTAAAATTTATGATCAATGTTCGCCTCATCCCACAACTTTAACCTGAACTTGAAGCTATGCATGCAGTATCATCGTCATCATCATCGTCGTCAGCCTCTCGCCCCCGTTGCCACAACCAACATCCGCTCCATTGGTGCGGCTAAAAAGTTTTACAACTTTTGCCAAATTATAATTTTTCGTACGTCCCCCCGCCACTGCAGTGGCTGTGCCAGGGAGCGAGTTCTTTTTGCCTTTTTTCCCCGTACTCTGTCACGAGGAAAGTAATAAAACTTTTACGCCCAAAAGTATGCAATATGCATGTTACAGTAGTCAATGCCAAACATGTCTGTGTGTGCGTGTTCGGTGAGCGCGTAGGGGTAGCTGTGTGTGTGTGTGTGTGTGTGTGTGTGCGCGCTTGTGTGACGAGTCAAATGTCACAAAGGATTGCTGGTTGCTTGAGCAACAACAAGATGGTTTGAAGCTAGAGCAGAGAAGCCTGTGGAGCGAGGGCGGTTCGGAGAATGTCGAAGCAGAACAAAAGATATGTGAAAATATGCCAGCGGGTTAAGTAGGAGAAGGAGCACCCAGTGAACAGTAGAACAGTGAACGGCAGAGCGGCAGCAACAGTAGCAGTGGGCGTGGTCCCGGCATTAAATTATGAAGTCAACAATGCATGTGTCGTGTTGGTGGGTGGGTGGGGCGGTGCGGTGGCACCGCCACGTAATTGTGGGTGTGTCTAACAACCAAAGAACTTGCTGGGTGAGTGCGATGAATGTGAGCATTATGTTTAGTCCGATGTTCCCCAAATGGCTATCGCCAGCAAAATTCCACACACTAAAACAGAAAAGAGAGATTTGGAAATTAAAAGAGAGAAATAAATTATAGAAATGTGTGTATGCATGCAATAAATAGGAAGAAATATTGAACGAACTATTCCTGGAAATAATTTTTAAGCTAAATTGATAGCTGCACATACCTATTAATAGATCAAAATGATCAACTGCATCATGCTTAAATTTTCCACACTAAACTCAATTTAGCATTAGCTTAGAGTTTAAAGTTTAAGTGGCTGCATTTAACCCATGACCTGAACGCATCTAAACACTAAAGAAATCTACGAATTACCAGCGAAATCGTTTCACAGAATGCCACAGCAATAGTGTGGGCCGGATTCCATGCCCATGTGGGTGGACATAACTTCTGCTTAAATACTAAGTAGTTCTGCCCATAGAAAAGATTAATTTGATTTTATTAATGAAATCATTAGTGGCAAAAGGTAACGAAAACAAAAAAAAAAAGGAAAGTTCCACTCGGAAAAATCCCCTGTTACCGCTACGCTCCCCGCTACCCGCTCTGTCGCCGTCTCCGTGTCCGGCTCTGTCTACGGCTGGGGTTGCGGTTAATGTAGCATGTGAATGGTCGTAACTTTCCCTTATAATATTTTTTCCTTTACCCAGTTTTCGTGTTACCTTTTTTTTTTTTTTGCCCAGTTTTGAGGCTCACATTGGTGGTGGGAGGGGTGGGGTCTGGACTCTGCCATGCCACTCGCTCATTTCATTCATTTCATTACGGGTGGACAGGGGGCTAGTGTCTAGGGTCCGCATCTGTTGACCATTGAGAGCGGCAACGGTAAACATACAGGGCCGAGTCTGGCAACGACAACGGATGTAGTCATTCACACAAATTAAATATTTGCTTACGCTGTTGTAAGTGAAGCGTCATCCAGTCGACATCAACAACATCTCCAACACGGACTCTTTCTCTCCGCTGCCCTGACCCTTGTTTCGTGCCGGGTCTACCTCCTCCTCTTGCTTTGCCCCTACCATACCCACGTACATGTCTTTATCTCCTCCTCATTCTTTATTCTGGTTTGAATTAATTGAAGCAAATTTCATGTTTTACCTTCAGCACACCCATCTATCTATCCAATAGACACGGCAAATTCGAGCCAATGAAAATAGATGAAAGACAGCTGACAACATTTCTACCTCCTCTATTTCTCTCTGTCTCTCTCTCTCTCTCTCTCTTCCTTTTGCTCTCTGTCCCCTCAGTGTGCGTGCGTACCTTGAATCTTTTGATAGATTCGCTGAAAAGGATTCTGTGGGGGGATTTTGGATCTTTTTGGAAGCTTAGATTGCCTTGCCTCCCAAAGTCCTAGCAAATGCATTGAATTTGCTACGCTATTGAAAATCCAATTGGTATCTGTCTGGCTACCATTTGCAACTGCACTAAACTAATTCCATTCGGATTGGTAATGGCAATGGGAATGCAAAGTAAACCGATAAAACATTAGTTATTTAATTACAAGAAATTCAGGAAAGAAACAAGCCAGCCGTATATTTATTTTGATCCGTGAATGCATATTAAATCAATTTATTTTTGTATATTCCAGATTAGATCTCTCAACTAAAATGTGACTACTGGTTCTTAAACCGTCTTCAAGTTCATCCCAAGTAAGTAATAGAACTAAAACTGATTTATTGTTGGGTTCACACCAGTGGCTGGTTCGTTCCGTACTATTTTTTTTAAGCGCATTTCCCTTTAATTCGAAAACTTTTCACATTTCAAACATCACTTTTTATCCAGTGTGTCACACTTGGCTCGTTCAATTTCATTTGCTTTGGTTTCCATTTCCCGCTAACAGTCCTCTTTTGGCTGGGACGATTAAACTTTGATCCAAGCGGTTGAAAAGTTTTCTATTTTTTTTTTTTTTTTGTATGCGATTCCGGGCTTTTGGCCAGCTAAACATTTAAATAGATTTCTTTTGCTTGCTTTCCTTTCAAATTTGCTTCCTGCTTTCGTCATTGAGTGGACGGACACCAAGTATCCATCGTTTTGCCAGTGACAATTGACAAAGTGTGTCTGTGTGTGTGTGGGTGTGTGGGTGTGTGTAAGAGCGGAAAGGTCATGGTACGAGCATGGCGGGTGAGTCATGCGCCAGTTTTTTTTTTTACTATTTGTTTTTTGTTGGCTCTCTGCTTAAAAGGCTTAGGGAGTAAGCTCAATCAGCAGCCGACTTTTCCCAGTGGCTAACTGCCCTCAAACCCATTGAGGGTATTCCTTTTCTGCCACCACACGAAGAGAAGACAGATCAAAGCATTACTTCAGCCACTACTATCTACTATCCATACAGCTTGGATGTCTGTGCAGTCATATTTTCATATGCCTTCCGCCGTGATACATCATCCCAAAACCAATCAATCTTTAAAGGGTATTTGCAGATACGGCCAAAGATCTTCCCCCGTTGCTTATATGCCCTGTTTACATTTCACTTTTCACTCTTCTATTTATATTTGTTTGCCAAGTTACCTATGTACAAACATGGTTAGATATACATATGTCCCTATATATGTATCTATAACCATATAAGCATTAAAGCGCACCTAAGCACACACACACACACACACGCACACTCCCATCCATCCACTCTCAAGCCCACACTCAACCGGAACCCACACACGCTGCGGATACAAATCAAATGTGGCAAAGGCTGTTGTGCGATGGACTGGGATATTGAGACGCGTTGAGGCGCTAAACGTGCTGGCTAAATGTTTGCCGGAGAGCCAGCCCGCCCACACATCCTAGCGGATGGATGGATCTAAACTGGCACCGAAAAAGCAACGGTAGCGGTAGCGGTAGCTTTATCAGACGCCAGAACTTGCAACGCAAAAGCCGCCCCTCAGCCCCTTCAAGGCTGATTGCGTGTATACTCGATACAGTCGCCATCGCCTCTCACTTCCTCGAAGACAATAACCGATGCTAATGTATTATACGTGTCAGTGTGGCCCCGGCATTTGACTGATATCTGTCTGCACTCCTCGTGCGACCCACTCACGTTCCATCTCCGGTAGCGGTGTATAGCAAGAGAAATGTCCCTGTCGATTTGTGACAAATAGCATTCGTCGTCGTCGTCGTCGTCGTCGTCCTTGCACCATGGGAAATTGCAGAAGCCAACAAGTTGCTGACCCACCACCCAAATACACGCGGGCCGGGAAACTTCCCCGAGCAAGATTCACGGCTATCGATTAATCAAGGGCTATCGATCGCTGACGCTGGAAACGGCAGTGGATAGGATTCCATTTGATGAAAAGACAAATGGCAAACGGCTTCGATTGGATTCTTCGGGTGACCCAAATCTATTGACATTCAATAAATTCAGTCAAGGCTCTGATTGCGCGCTAATTTCGTATTCAATATTTCACTAGATGCAACAACATTTGCATCTGCAACTTATTTCATTAGTTGGGCACGCTCTTAATAGTATTTGCTGTACCCATGCCAACCATTAGAGAGATCCAAGTAGAGTAGAGTAGAGAGAATCAAGGTGATGGTAAGAAATAATTATTCCTTAATCACTCTCTTTTTTCTTTTTTATCTTCTGTCGCTAAATCGATCATTACCTGATCAATTAATATGTAATATACAATGTATATTTACAAAAATATATATCAAAAGCTTTAAGCTGAGAATTCTCCAAAATCTTATTAAAAATATTGAAAAATAAGTTTACCCGCTCGGCATTTACAGCACCGATATGCGCAAATTTAATAAGTTGCATAGAGAAATGTATGGACTTTAATATAATTTTTGATTTATATCCATACGTGGGTTATACCTGAAGATATATCAGGCTAAAGTTTAAGTTTTTTACAATTTTTTTACGTTCATTTAAGTTTGTTATATTTTCTATTATAATACAATTAATTATTATATTGCTATATATCGTTAAAGCTAATTTTGGGCTGGCTTTCGCTATATTTTCCCCACTGTGCTCACGTACGATTACCCCTAGCCAAGTGCCCCCACCTCCACCTTACGTTACAGCCGCACGTAACTTCTGCTGCCTCTTTCCCTCTGCCTGTTACCATCAATTTGCTTATTTTTTGTAGACCCCAACCTACTAAGCCTAAGTAAGAGATAAACATATACACAAAGAAAAACAGACAGAGAGAGAGAGGGATTGAGAGGGGGTAGGGGGAGATGGCAAGTTGTAGATAGTAGGAGACAGACAATGATATATGGATATAGACACCTACTGGAGGCTGGCAAACGTTTTATGGCTTTCTCTCTCTCTCTCTCTCTCTCTCCCATCCTGTTGCCATCCATCTCGGTTTTTTGTGTGTAAATTGTGAACATTTAAATTGAATCAAGTTTCGTTCTTGCCACCTCTCTCTCTCTCTCTCTATTTCTCTCTCTTTAAAAACCATAAAGCCCTAATGAACCCGTTCTGGAAATAAGTGACACTTTCCTGCCAGCTTTGCTTGCTGCGCCTTTCCCTTTTGGCTTTTCACAGCTTCCGTTTCCGTTTCCCCCTGTGTCACTGTTTGATGCAATTTTCATAAAGTTGCCAAAACTTGGTTTTGCCCTGGCCATATTCCTTTTCTTTATGCCAGTTTCATATACATTCTCTGCTCTTTTTGCGAGTATAAAAAGCAAAAGTTTAAACAGTTTACAGCTTACAGCTGGCCCCAGAGGCCATTCGATGGGCACTGGCAGTGGCAGTGGCAGTGGCTGGCGGTGTAGGGGGCTGGCTGACAACAATTTATTTGGCCAACGCCCACACAACAGCATCAGAGGAAGAGCAAAGAGCAGGAGAAAGAGGGAAAGAAAATCCAGTCAACAGTTGGGAGGATGTTTGGTCACATCAAGCATACGCAGTGTGGCCCACCGACACCGACCGCCCCGCTTCGAATGTCAAAAATTAAACGAAGCAATAAATTATGCCCCTGTCAATGTGCGGGTAGTAACGGGCAAGGGACGGGAGAAGGGCTTGTGTGCTTAAATATCCCTTTATATATGTATATGCAGATTTCCTGAATCTCTTTTCGGCCACACGTTCGAAAGGGTTTTCTGGGGGCCAGCTTGGTTGCCCGGTTGCCCGGTTACCCGATTCACCCTGTACCCTATGCCAACCCTTGGACAAATCTGAGACGGATTTATCTGGTCTTGGTTCAATAAACAGATTAATTCAAGGCCGTAAAGCTTTAGCAATCAATTCTGACTACAGTTTAGGGATATGGCCTATTTCTTATAGGTTGAAAATGTCCAAAATTCTTTCTGTTATGCTTATTTAGGTATTACTGACTGCTTGAACCTTCAAAAAATATAAATTTAATGACACAACATAATTTTCCTCTCGTTAAAAGTAGCGCCTCCTTTCAGTCAATAAAATCCTTCCTAGTGGGGTATTCCAATTTCGTTCTGCTCAGTCTTTGGCACTCTGTCGTGATTTCCTCTTTTGGAATTTGATTCCACAGCTTCTAAAATATTTTTGCAGCTCCCCAAAAAACGTATAAACTTTTGATAGTTCTGAATGTGGAAAGTTTCTCCACTATTTGTTTGTGGTAATTGCTCCAGAGATTAAAAACAGGCAAACAATTAATGCAAAAGTTGCACATTTCGGTGGTAAAATATTTTATATATAAGCATTTCGACTTGGGCAGCTTGTTCCATTCTCATCTCACGAAATGGTAAGGCACAGCCAGTACAGAAATCAGGTGGCAAGGCTAGAATGATTCTCATTTGAAGAAAAAAATTATTATTGTTTATTTTTTTATGTTTCGCCCAAGAAAATTGCTCGTATGGCAATCAGATTGCCTCTCGGACAAGCCGCAGCAGCCAAATAATAAGTTCCCCAAGGCATAGGCGGACTTTCTGGTGGCATTTGTGTTGCTGCCACTTAAAGAATTTTTGAATTCAAATTTGTTTCCCTCGCCTATATCTGCAGCCTGCAAATATCGCTGTCATCGGTGTTATCATCGATGATTTTTCCAGCAAAAGCTCCCACCACTAAAAGTACGCATTTTTTTTAACAACAAAAAAATGCACAAAAACAAAACGATTTTTGATAGAGAAACAGTTGGTTTGCGAGCATTTTTGTTGGTGCATTTCCATTAGCTAGGCCTCCATGTTGATGCCCTTACATTTATGTCCCCATACGCTGAGTGTTTGTCTTTATTTCGGCCCTGACTCATCCAGCCAGCAAGCAATTCGAGACATAATTCCGCCTTGTTTAATGCGCATATTTATTCCATTTGTGTCCTTCGCTGCCTCTTCTGAACTTCTGCGTTGTTTTTTCAGAGTCTCATTTTTATTTTGTCGTGTATTAAGTTAATTAATGCGTGGCATAAGCCCCCGCTTTTGCCATTTAGCTCGTCGTTCTCGTCGCCCTACGTCAAGTCAATCACATGATAACAACAACAACAACAACAGCAGCAGCAGCAGCAGCAGCAAAAACAACACGACAATTTCTAATGTTTTGCCAACTTTATTTTATTGTGTTTGTTGTTTTTTCTTTTTCATTGTTTTAATTAATTTTGAGAGGGATTTGTGCGGCTTATGAACTTTAAATATTTAACTTCATTTTGTGTGCTGGTCCTCACAAAAAACAAAAAAAAACAAACACAAAAACGAGAAAGAACAACAAAAGTTTCAGCCCAAAAAAGACGTAATATATCCACAAATTGAGGTGCGCTTCGAAGGCTCCGGATTGATCAGGATTTTATGTACTTGTTGAACAAAAAATGCGGCACAAAGGATAGTTTATGTAAACAAATGTTGCATTTTATTGGGAATGACTAGAGTTTATATTTATGTTTGGTTTTATGGTATGATGTCTGTGTCGCACCTTTTGGTCGTTTGCCAATGGTCTGCGGCAAAAAGTGGGGACAGGCGCTGGCCTAGGTTGTACTTCGTATAGAATTCACTGGAAATCGGCTTGGCCATGTGTTGTTGTTAGGCATTGCTGTGCCCGTCGGTTTTTAGTGGTGCAACTGCAGAAAAAAAGAATCCGAATTTGAGCGCACTAAATCTCGAAATGTGCAAAAATGTGCCTACCATTTGTATTGTTTGTATTGGCTGAGCCGTGCAGCATCTACTGCTCCACCGGAGCGGCAGCTGGTTCTTCTGCCAGTGCAACTGCCAAAGTGAAGTTATTATTTAAAAGATTGCCATGATTAAACATCCCTCTGGCTTACCTGTACGCCTATAAATAAGCGCGGCGCTAAGGAGCGTTGCTCCTCCGCTGAACAACGGTCCGTTGAGCAATGAGCCCAGCCGAACGCAAACTGAAAGCCAACATAAAATATTAGTTAAATGTGAAAAGAACAGGGCGGCGGACCCAAGTCCTGCTTACATGCGTGATTTGTTTCGCCAGGTTCAATGGGAACGGGAATCATTTGAAATCCATCAGGCGGTTGCAGCACCTTATGTTCTCCGGTCTCTTGATCTAGAAAAGCGAACAATTGGAGGTTAGATCAGGTTAAATATCACACAAATGCACATAATATGCATCCATCTACTGCACTTACCCTTTTCGCAAGGGTAAACGGCTATGCAGGCCGTTCCGTTCATGAAGCTGGCCTCGTTTAATACACTTTCCAAACCGGTAACTGGATTCATTTTTACCCAAAAGTACGTGCACGCTGGTTCGATGTCGGAAAAGAAAGAAGGAAAAATTAGATTTGCACATGTATATGTGTGTGTGAATGTTACCACACAAAATTATTATTATTCCAGGCAGGGTTGCATTTGCTCTGCCCATGAACGCAAAGCTGAGGATCCATTGTTGCGTAATTTTTTATCCCTTTTTTGGTCACACTAGTTGCGTAATTTATATTTTATACGGTCACACTAGAAGCGGATTGCTTACATTTTGTTATTCCCAATATGGCGTTATGTGTAGATTGGCTGCAGTAATTAATATTGTCTCTTAAGACTGACCAGCAGATGCGCTTCCATGTTGTTCCTGTCATCGGCAGCTGCAGCGGCCCGAGCTTTACGGGGGAGCTGCTGAGACACGCTTTGGTCGCGGCCAGGCACCACGAAAAAAACACGTGATGGATAATGAGCCCAGCAACGGCGAACACAATCCACATCCATACATCGTTCGTGGATGTGGGCACAAGCGCAGGCGCGGCGGCGCCTGTCTGCGGTGCTATCTTTGGCGTGGAAGGAAGGAGCGATCACGCAGCGATTGACCGCTACTTGCGGAACCTGCACCTGTCCGCCAGCCCAAGGTGCTCAAGGGCCACGAAGATCATATCATCACATGCCTGCAGCTGTCTCTGGCTCTCCGGTTAATGGCAAAAATCAGCGTACAATTGTGATTTGGAACACTCGAACAGGGACTTTGGGTTTTCCACAGACGAGAGTCTCGACGCTCGACGCTACTCGTCTCTCTGTGCAGAGTGTGGTGCAGCCTCTGGTGTCTTTCTGAATGCCAGATCTTGACCATCGTTATGGTACCCAAGGTAGCTGTAACTTTGGAGTGCGTGGACAAAGGCTCCCATGTCCATGTAGCAAATCGTCAGGATACCATCTGTGCTGGCCGCGATGATGATGATGTTCCCAGGAAAATTTAGATCGTTCGTGGCACTTCTTTGGGCTCTCCTATCAAATGTGAGCATCCTCTTCCAATGGAATGGAATAGAAAAAACATTTCCGCAGCAAATGGATGATTATTCCGAGCTTTTGCCACTTTGCATTCGTTTCGTGCCCACGCCACGCCACTCCACCCCACCCCACTCGCCACGCACTGTTCCCACTCATACAGTGACATGAAAATGTATGCTGGCCCACATATTAAAATGCTGACTGCCACTCAATGAAGGCAGAGAAGCAGTGGAGAGGAGACGCCGCCACAAGGAGGCCAGTAAAAATATGCAAAGACAAAAGTCGTAGGGCACGGTACCAGGACCAGGACCAGGACCAGCAGGGCAGCAGCTCAAGACATTCCTTGGCCAAGGGAGAAATGGGAATGGGAATGGAGATGGAGATGGAGATGTAGATAAAGGAAACCCGAGAGCGAGAGAAAGAGAAAAGAAACAATAACAAAATGTAAACAAATCACAATAAATAACAAATAGGCATTCGGTCCTTGTTTTTTATGCCTTGCACTTGACATATTTCCTCCACTCCTCCACACTCTACTCTCCACTATGTGTGGTGGGCGTGGCTGTGAAATTTTTTCAATTATATTGACAGCGGCAAAAGTTGCCAACTTCCACATTCCCCTCTATATTTGTTTTTCTTTATGCATAAATTTGAAATCATAGAAAAGTTGGTTTGGTTTTTTTGTTGTTGTTGTTTTCTTCACGTGTTTTGCTGTTGCTGTTGCTTTGATTTTGCTACAAATCTGTGGGTGGCTGGAGTAGGGTTGCTGGGGTGGTGTCGGGGTGTCGGGGTGGCGGGGTGGCTGTACTGGTTGTGACATGTGCGAATTTGTTGGGCGTGGCAAATGCTTAATTCAATACGCATCAACAAATAATTTATGAATTTTTATCGAATTTGTGATTCTGTTTTTATGATGGCAAAACAGAAACACACGGAATCATAAATTATGCCCAATAAATCTGCAGCAGGCACAGGCACAGGCACACGCAACCGAAACGAAGACACGACCATGTGGCTCTTAGAGTTTGTGTTTTGTGGTTGTGCCTGTGATTGATACCACAAGACAAATGATTTCAGCAACTGCAAACGAAATGTTTGAAAATCTAGATTCAGATAAAATGCCGCGAATTAAGGGCCACGTGTCCAGTGGCTGTGTCGGCACGCAGACATGCACAACATTTTTGTTTTTTTGCAGTGCGTAAACTTGACAGAAAAATTCTTATTGTATACACACATCTGTATTAGGCTGCATAAAAAAAATTCGAATGTTTTATGTATTACATATTTAATTATTTATTTAGCTATCCGCTTGCATGTATTGGGATATTTGCGTGTCCAGTTAAATTTTCGTAGTTTTATGAACAAGTTAAGGCTGACAAAATGGTTTCACTTATGCGACTTGTTGACGGCAAATTGGGCATAAATTGCTGTAGCATAGGGAGACAATTATGCATTCACCGCAAAAAATGTGCCCACACATTAGAATGACCAAAGGCTCAGTGAAGAAATCGAGGCATATGACGCACGTACTTTCTGCCTCGTTCAATTCTTCTTCTGCTTCCTCCGGTTGTGGCCAAGCAAAGGCAGCTAAAGAAAAGGTATTCAAATTTCCTGCTGCCAATAAATGTGTGTACATTTGTTGTGCCTACCATTTTCCTTATTTTCAGACATTTTTAGGAAGTTATTTCTCACCAAAAACCATTTGACTATGCCGGACTAGTGCTCTATGGGAACTGTACAGAAAATATACGTTCTTATTGCTGACATATGGCTAGTATGACCTTATTTTCACGCATTATTCGGTCAAATTGCAGTACATCAATTAAGATTAATATGGGCATTAATGAAACGGATTTAGATTAAATTTACATTATTTAATACCATATAAATATTAAATGTATATTGACAGCTTACCCGGCGAACGTTGTCTCGCACCATTTTAACGCCTTAAGATAAACTTAAGATAATTCCAATACAATGGCTCTGGCGGATGAGTCAAAACGGGAAATTTAACCCTTCCACCAGCGCAGCATATGCGGGGGGTTAACGATTCCGACTCCAATGCATTTCAATGCTGGCATACGACTGACAATGAACCGATATAAATGCAGTGGCAGATCTTGGTAGGCTCAATTGCTCAATCGTATTCGAAAGCAGCGCAATTCAAGTCTACTGGTCGAATTTAAGGTGGTAATTGTGCAGCGCGAGCCTGTGCAATATGGGCCATAGCTCTTCTGCACGTTCCTTTTGCGTTAGATTAATAGCGACATTCCGTGTACGTCGTCCAAGGTTTGATCGGCAAATAGCAGGCATATTCATAACTCAATTGATGCATAATATCTTGAGTTTAGAACTCATCTGCAACCATAACAATTGCCTCTTCGCCTACTTTGGCCGTTCTAAAAATCAATTTTTGCTCGCGCTGGATTGTTATTTGCTTAATTTTTTCTTTCCTAAGAACCTTCTTCTGACAATAAAAAGCACAACAAAAAAAGGATTAGCGAATTTGGTCCAGCCGTTCACGCGTGATGCCGCAACCAAGTGAAATGGAGATTCATTTATATATAAATATAGATTATTATTAGATATACCTGCACTCGGGCTGCAGTATGGTTCCACCTAATCGGTCTGGGGTTCGCTTCTTTTCTGTCTAAATCCTAAAATCCGATTCCTAGCACAATTAAACGTATAGTTTTGTATTCGTATCAGTTTCATTGTAGTTAAACTGATTAAAATGACGGCTAAGTGGAACAACCCCACAGCTGGAGAGGCAGGGCGAACCCCATGTCGTGGGGGTTAACAACTTTGCTCGAAAATCTTGGCTCCGGCGAACATAAAGTCATCCAATGAAGTGGACCATCAATGAGGTCAGGGTCGGGACATCGTAAATCCTTCAATCTTGGTTGCCATGAGAGTGAGCTGAGGTTGAGACAGCGCAAAGGAGAGGAGAGGAGAGGTCGGGCCCCAGTTGATTAATTCTACATTTTATTTGGCATTTTTATGAGCAAAAAATAGAGAGACAGAAAGAGAGAGAGAGAAAGCGACGGAGACAGAGACAGAGAGTGAGAGTTGCCAATCCCAGTTGCGATTTTGTTTGCTTTGGTTTCGGGTTTCGCTCTTTTCAGCATACGCACACGCACCCCCCTCCGTTCGTCTTTGGGCCTATCGTATAACCACAAGGAGGTTGGACGTGGGTAGGTGAGCGGAACGGAACGGAGCGGAGCGGAGCGGAGCTGGGCTCGTGGCGGGCTGCAAAAGCGATATTTTATTTCACCATTAATCGTAAAAATTGCTCATTTTATTGCTTTGAAAGTGTTCGCCGGCTGCCTGCCAGTCACCCATTGAACCAGATAGATTCCCTCTTTCAACGCCACGAGAAAGTTTGCATGTGGCCTTTTATTTTGTATACACAATATTTGAAGAGTATATTGGATGTTTAGCAAATGTTTGCAAAGGAAAGGTAGAAACAGACTCCTCGTGGTGTACTTGCACCCAGCGCAAAAAATCATATTAATATTTTTGTTCTAATAGCTGTAGAAAATCTGTAGAAAATGTATACAAAAGTGCGCAAGTGTTTTTGAATTTTTAAAACTAAATAAGTTATATTCCACACCAAATTCGCATCGCATACCACAGGGATAGATTAGAGTGTATCTTACAGTCAGTATTTAGACAATTGCATTGTCTACTTATTTTATTTTATTTCATTTGGGTTATTCTTTTGCCTGTTCTCCTCTGTTTTTCTTGTAAAGCGGAGCCAAGCGTGAAAGTGAATGGCAATGGGTTGGGCTGGGTTGTGTAGCACGAGCAATCGCACCTGGCAAAGGACACAAGGCAAAAGCCGCCAGGTGGCATTTTGTCTCTGTGGATGGAGGTGGATGGAGTTGCCAAAATGTTTCATATAAATCGTTGTACTCATTCCCGGAATGTGTTATATCCTGTTCGAGGGATATGCCATGGGTCGTGGTCCTGTCGCTGACTTTGACTGATGAGTGACACGGAAATACACGCATGTCGTGCAGATTGGCGTGGGTGGGCGGGACTCATTCGATTGATATACCATTCTATTCCAGAAATTTTAATTAAAGTTGTACGCATTTATTTTCTTCTTCTCGATTTCTTGATTCAGTTTTCCATAGAAAATTCTCGATCGTCCCATTTCCATGTAACATATCTGGGCAAACATTTACGGCAATGACTGACCAAATTGGGCAACAAATTTGCTTATGCATTCAATTACCACCGCACAATGCCAGGCGAATGGGGGCGCAGTCCGACTAATAGTTACGTTGGCCAAATTGAGGAAATTGAGAAATTACTTTAAAAGGCAAACACAACCGACAGAAAGAAATGAAGACAATTTCGCTGTTTTGTTTTCTTTTCTCGCGTTTGGCTTCCCCCCTAAATGCGAGATTTTTTGTTTTTTTGTTTTTTTCGCCCCTAAACAAATTTCATGGTGAGGATTTTTTTCCAGGAAATATTGTATGAGTGAGTATCTAAGCCCAGTCCGCCCAGACCACCCAGAGTGGAGTACTTTGCAGCCGCATTTATTACTCATTTAAAGGCATTCTTCGTCTTCGTCTTCGTCTTCGGTTTCGTCTTTGTCTCGGGGTTCCTTTTTCGTTGTCGGTCTGGCTGTTGCTGGTTTGTTGTACTTTTGCTATTTACTTTGGACTGCAAAATGAACGTCGAAAGCGGGGGCCAAAAGTTGCAAATCTTTAAATGAATTTAATATGCCCAAAGTATTATATGAAAAATACGAGTATGCCTTGGCTGTGCCAGAGTATTCAATGGGGGATTCCCCCCTGCTATGGGGTCGATGTGGCTGAGATTGGCTGCTTGCCAGCCCTCCGTCATAGCCGTCGCCGTCGTCGTCGTCGTCATCGTCATCATTCCCCATCATCGTTTGGGCGGGTCTTGATTATGTTTATTAATATGTGGATATAATAACTTTTGCCATACTCACAGCTGCTGTGTGGCGTCGCCCTGACGCCAGATACCAAAAACCACCGAAAGGGTTCAAGGATGAGAATTCAGCATCAGTTTTTGGTTATTTTTTGCTTTTTCTTTTTGTTTTAAAGGCAGCTCTGCGGTTGCTTTGAGTCCTTTTCATGGGTATACACCTTCAACCCGATAGCTGCATGTGTGGTGGGGCAGCTTTCATGGGATTGATGGCCGGCCATGATGGGATTTTGAAAGCAAGAAACGGAAAATCATGCAAATTAATAGGCTGCACATTAAAGGCACCTTTGGAGAGAACAGCAAAATCTGAATATTCCTTTGCAATCAAAAACCAAACAGTAATTAACATTCCAACTATTAGTTATCCTTTGTTGTTGTGTAGCTCACATTTCAATGATTATGCAGCCAGATTACGACGGCATTCCAGGGGCCACAAAGCCATGAAAATGCTTTATAAAATATGTCTGGACATTGGACGATTGATGGCGAAAGTGATGCCATGAATATTTCATTGGAATTGCCTTTTCATAATTCGTTAAATCTTGACAATAATCTAATCTATCAAGTGTTCTGTTTCTGCTCCAAAACCCCCCCACACACACATCTCTCTCTCTCTCTGTCGTTGCATTATGGATGCTCAGTGATGTGAAAGTTTTTCTGCATGAGGCGACGACGACTTGAGCCCTCATCATTGTGATTGTTGCCAGAATTCAGAGGTTCAGAGGTTAACTGTCTGTTAAATACCCTCAATGGCAATGGTATAAAGATATATGTAGCTGTTGGAGAGAGAGTGGATGAATGGCTGTGGGCACTGAGTGGGTGGGGGAACTTAATGCCCGGTCACTAATTCTGACTGCACTTTGTCAATGGCTCTGGACGCGATATCCAGTTACCCTGCCCAGCAGCGATGGAGAGTTTTTCCACGGCATCAGACAGTGGAATATCCTGACTTCCATTGGACCAATTCCAAATGGAAAATTGGCACGTTTTTGTGTCACATTTACGCTGCGACAGAGAGTTTACTGTTTCGTTGCATGTACAATTTTTAATTGGTAAAATGAACTAAAAATGGACCACTAAGTGGTTGAAAGTGCAGCGAAAAGCGTTTGCAGCGCGCAGGGGCTATGTGTGGTTGGTTTATACAGAAATCTGTGCGTTGTCCTTGTCCTTGTCGGCGGTCTTATATTACCTGCTTGCCCCCTTTGTTGCGTGTGCTTCAGGGCTGCCATTTGGTTTCGTGTAACGAAAGCCTTGAAATAATTATACCATTGGTTGCTCTCCACACAAAGGCCTTTCCACTCTTTGCCACTCTCTCCTCTCTCGCTCTCCCCTCTCTCTCTCGCTCTCCCCTCTCTCTGTCCCTCTGTCTGTGTTCTTTTCGCCCGCTTTAACTGTCATTTCTCCATTACAGCTTAGCCAATGCTTGGGTTAATCCGCTTAGCAAATTATCCAGCATAATTTGACATTTTGGTTTCGGTTGCTTTTCAAGAGCACTTAATGGACACAATAGTGGGCCCCTGCCGCCCACTCAGATACCCACTAATCAATCGTTACGTATCCAACGAGAACTCTGGCAATAAATCGCAAATATATCAGATATGAAATATATTCTGTAAAATTGTTAATATTAAAGTCTCCCTTTAAGGTGGCAAATCAGGAATAGATCCACCTTTGCTCGGCCTGTTGCATACACTAGCACAAAGTGGGTATACCCCTGGGTAGACTGAGCACCGACCGGATTTCGCCCCCGTCCCCCAAAAGAGTGTTGGGTGGCAACATTTAAAGAATTAATAAAGCCATTTTGTGCTCTCGTTGCGCTCTGTCTCTCTTTTTCTGTTTGTTTCCCCGTAAACTTATTTAGTCGCGTCCCGCCCTGCCCTGCCCTGCCCTGCCCATTCCTTTTGATGGCGACAAAGCCGCTTTGCTGCATCTGTATTCGTGTGTGTGTGTGTGTTCCATCTTCGTTG